CAGTGCAGTCTGGTTAACTGCAATGCATTCTGGTAAAAAGTGATGAATTCGAGAATTCGTACCCCCTTCTATATATTCTTCTTAAATCCTGATTATGTTGCTGCTCGCTCGCTACGCTCGCTCCGCAGCAAAAATCCTCAACTTTGTATCCTACAGTGAAAGTAGTCCCAATAAATATTGTTTTTCTTTCAGGAAACGACGCATTTAGTGGGAGGCAGTCATCGATATAATTGCTATGATGCTATTGAAACGATTGGAGGTGAGAAGTACAATTAACTGGTAGCATTGTTTTCCCATTGTCAATAACAGAATACACCTATGTAGACCAGTTCTTATACAGAAGTACAGTAGTAGTGTCGAGTTGTAAGGGGAGTGGGGTACATGTATATGTAAATGAACGCAGCATGTTGTTCACTTGTCGTTGTTGTATTTGTTGGTAGTGTACTGTAAGTCGTGTAGATATTGTAATTTAAATAGTGTACATAATTAGAGCCATATAGTATAAGTAGAGTACAGTGTTGTAAGTAGTCTAAGGAGCGTACTGTTCGTAATTGTATTGTAAGTATTGTTTCCCTTGTATTGAAAAAAAAAACTCTGTGTACGTGTTGAGGTATTTCGCAAACACTCGTACAGCAGACAGGCTTCAACATTGCAGCTGCACTGGCCATCTTGTAGGTCTCAAAAGAATTGCTAACTGGTGACATTCGTTTTATTTCTCTTCCGGTTTGTTATATAAAAAAAAATGACGTGTGTGTGCAGACAGTGTTTACAAACTATGATTTACAGTGTGGTTTTAGTGTATTTCATTCACTGCATACAGGGCGATCAAGAGTGTGATTCTCTTTAAATATAAATAATTAAACTAATGTTAGAATGACTATTAGCCAAATAGTGTTCAACTTCTGTCCTCACCCCACAGTTCTCATCCACTACAGTGTATACTGACTGACTAAAAGATTGAACCTCATAGACGAGTGTAGGCAGACTTATTTGTTGAGTTACGTAATGACCGAGGTTGAGTTGAAATACGAAACGATAGGATTTCTTGCAAATAATTGCTGAGATCGTTAATTTATCTGAAATGTACGGCAGAAGTTGTAACTTTGAGGGACTTGACATGACTAGAACGCAAGTGAATCACGACAAAAATAGATCATCTGTTGCTATAAGTAAACGAGAAGAGCTATCACGCCAACACGTAATATAGTCGAAGCTTTTTTCCTTGTTTTGTATCCTCGGTGGTCGCCAAAAATAACTTTTCAACGCTTCTGTACACCGCGCTTTGGAGTTGTAAATGGCAAAGTTAAATGTACTCAGTAATTTCTTTACGCGAAGTGGCAATTTGCTGTATTTTAGAGTCTTTTCGGATGTGTAATGGCTGATTATCGTAACCCGGTCTTTCGTGTTATATTTACACTGACGTCACGAGATCACGCCATGCCCAAAATAACTTCTTCGTAATGCATTATCGTTCGGCATTTTGAGCAACTTGTGCAGGGCTTCATACTCAATGCATGCTGATTGCCACCGTTAACTTCAGCTCGCGTTTTGTAAAGCACTTTTACAATGGAGCGGCAAAACTCCTTGAGGCTGTCTATTGATACGTTAGTCCCTCCTGTACCGTGCAGCAGGCATCGAGGATTTCTTGGTAAAGTCCTCTTTTCTCGGTTCTTTGTTTGTAGTTTAGCTAAATCTTCCAAACCTGCAGTTTCGTCTTCGACTGTTCTTCGTTGCAAATCAATAATTTTGCTTGCCTTTTATTTATAAGCATACTATTATTTATACCTTGTTAATTTTTCTGTTGGTAGATTTTTGTTCTCCGTGCTTTTTGTCTTTACACGAGCAACACAGAGCAGAGTCACGCTCGATGTTCACACTGTCTAGCCTGAATATTGTATTCACTACATCAATACAACTATCAGAATTGGTCTTTCAGAATATTCTCTACACGTTTGAACGGTGTTTTGCATGAAATGTAAATGGAAGTATCCAGATCTATATAATGTTGTTGTTGTGCGTTGGCGATCAGATTCAGGTGTATGTAGCCTCAAGATTGATCAGCGTGAAATTTACACGATTACAGTGTTATGAGAAATATATGGGGACCAGAATTTCCATGTTGATTTTGGGAATTGTGGCCTTTAAGTACCTAGTGGAAGTCACAGTCTATTAATTAGTGTCCTTTTTGAAAGCCGGCCAAGAGCATTGTCTTAGCTTTAAAGGTGCAGCTAAGTAAGGCTTATTCTTTGCTGCTTCTTGTGTCTCCAATCCGCCTGAGCTGTGTTTTACTGGCGACAGCGGGTGTCAGTCGGAATGCGTGACTTGCTTTCCTCTTTTATTGTCTTAGTCAACTTTTCAGGGTTGATAACGTCTAATACACTATACAATCTCGCCTTACGTCAGATTACTATTCTGATAAGTTTCTGACACACAAATGGTGGATCTTTTCCAAGATTTATGCCACAAAAACATGTCATATTTGTGTTGAAAAATCATTGTCAAACTTCGCAGGCACTTGCCATCATGGACATCATTACTGTTAGTGTCACTCGGAGCACAGTTAATAGAGGGGAATGGTTATGAAACTTGACAAAGTTCTTTGTTGTATGTTTTCGTTTTCTTGGCCTTGACCGTGCACAAAACACAATGGAACTAACAATAGAAATGTTTTGATTACGTAACTCATGCATAGGTCGTGCACGGTCGTGGACCTTCCAACATAAATCTTGGCATTTTTGCTTGCTCCTTTGATGTTTGCCGGACTTCATAACCATTCCCCTCTATCAACTATGCTCAGAGCACTTCCGGATCGTAACGTAACGCTTTTCTCCACTAATGAGGAGCAGTTTACCCAAATAACGGAAGTAAACTACAGTTTTATTAACGTATTCTTCATTTGATTGGCAGATTTAGACGCTTCTCGAAGTGAGTGCTGGGTTTGTTACGACAGCGAGCGTACAGATGCTGGTCCAATGATATTTCCCTGTCAATGTAAGGGAGATGTGGCCGCCGTACACCATGACTGTCTCAAGAGATGGCTCATTGAGGTACAGAAGCGCCGTGAACGTAAATTTCATGTCTGTTGTTGTTGAATACCGGGAAGATCAGTCCCTCTCTGTTTCTTGCGACAGCCGTTAAAAACGTTCTATTTTAGCTGTCTTCACCGGCTGAAATTGACATTTGGTGGCCTCTTTGCTAACGTGGCCACGGTTAGGAACGTTTTTGTTTGTCTTGAATTCGACCGCCCTCAAGTCTGCAAATCAACCCTAACCTGGAGCTAGCAGTACCTCCCCTCCCATTTTCCCCCTTTCCCCTCTCCCCCTCTCCCCCTCGTGCAAGGCCCCTAGCTGAGAATTTTTAGTGCGCACTTTTTACAATTTATTATTACTTGTAAAATAAATTATTCATCACACAAACGAGGTATATAGTGAAGAGTAAGGTGAACATACCAGGTACTCGTCATGTGAGAGTAGACTCCACTTGGCTCGAAATTGATCGCTTGCAAATAGCTAAAGCTTCGCGTATCAAAATAGTTTTCTTCATTATCGCTAAAAGGAAGGAATTGAAGAGGTTTTAGACTCTAAATTCTACTTGAAAACATATTTTCCTGTCCAGTCGTAATCAAGATGTGATAATTTAGGACGGGATTACTTTAATTTGATGCTTTTTGTTTCTTTTGGTTTTCCAGTCATCTGTGGATAGTGGAGAGGATAACCGTAAGTGCAAAGTTTGCGGAGAAGAGGTAGGCTTCAGTTTTTTCTATCTGTTTACCCTAGGCTACCAATTGCGAAATATTATTTTTCATTTATATTGATCGCTATGCATTTTGCTTAAAACTTGAACATCACCTCGGGAATCACTTTCCCACCACACGCTTTTTACACTTCCCGACCTGTGCTCGAAAAGTCAGATTGCAGTCGCAAATGGTAACATATACAGTATAATTACACGAGAAAATCCAGCGATCACCCGCAAATAGATCTATGCACTTCACAGCATAATGTTACCAAATAGCAGCCAGCAACATTCGCCCTTTGTCATAGAGACATGTACGTACTCAATCCATCTATCAGTGATTGTCGTAGCTGTAAATATAATACCAGTATATTTTCGAGACTACACAAAATGCTTTCGGGACAATTGAAAAAATATATTGATGTAAAAACTTAACTCTGCTCTTGCCTATGTAAGTAACGTGATCTATTTAAATCTCTGACAGTACAAACTGGCAACGGGAAGGGCGTGGTTACCAAGTGGTCTGACTGTACGGTAAGATGTGACATTTTTCGTTGTTCAAGACCTGTATCACCGTCGTGATTTCGTGTAACTGATTTCTGCAAGTTGCTTTCAGCTACTATAACTAACCAATAACTCACTCACTTATCCCTATCGTCCCGGCTGGGACATAAGGCCATCATGACATTAGCTCTCTACTTCTCGGGTCCCCGGCGATCTTTTTAACCTCCGCTCAGACAAAGCCAAGTGCTTTGACCTTGCAGTATTCGTGTTGTTGATTGTAGACATTGGGTTCAGACGACTGTAATCCTGTCCATGATGATTGGAGCGCCAATCGGTGTTTACATGGTTTGCTTATCCAGCATACCTCCTGCTTGTAAGATTCTGGTCATAGGACTTGCTGTTGTGCTGGAATACGTGTGTCTTAGGTGAGTGGGACCTCATAAGTTAACTGGTTAGTCATGAACAGAGAAGGTCAGTTGTTTGGTTGATACAGTCAGTCAGTCAGTCAGTCAGTCAGACAGACAGACAGACAGACAGACAGAAAGTCTTCTGTCTGTCTGTCCGCCAGTCAGTTCTTTAGTCCGTCAGGTCAGTCTGTCAGTCTGTCTGTCAC